CACATTTTTAGGGGTGGCATGGCCGGCGCCAGAATGCTGCCCCTAAAAATGTGCCCTGGCCGCCCTAGCTCACCTCCGCTGCTGCTCACCCGCCACGGTGCGCGAAACAGCTGATTCGCGCGCCGCTACTCGCCCTCCCTCCCAGGCTTGAGAGCCTGGGAGGGAGGGGGAGCAGCGGCACGTGAATCAGCTGTTTCGCGCGCCGTGGCCGCTCGGGGTCTCCCCCTCCCTCCCAGGCTCTCAAACCATGGGAGGGAGGGCGAGATCCCGAGCGGCCGCGGCGCACGAAACAGCTTCTCCCACTCCCTCCCTCTCCCTTGAGAGCCTGGGGGGAGGAGGCAGGGCTGGGGATTTGGGGAAGGGGCGGAGTTGAGGCGGGGCCGGGGGTGGGGTAATTAAAAAACGGGGGAGGGGGGGCGGCCAAAATTGTTTTTGCTTTGGGCGGCAAAAATCCTAGAGCCGGCCCTGACCACAACAGAGGGCCACTAGGCCTGCAATACCTTCCCACAATCCCCTAGGACCCCTTGCCCCATTGGACTTTTATTACCATCTCCCTAGTCCTTGTTTTCTGACCAGAAGTCACCTGCCACTGCAAATAGGATGTTCAGCATCCTCATCCCCAGCTCACGCAACTCTGGTTCAGAACACAGTGCCTGCCATGATGTCCTCATCTCAGCCAGCTGTACGGAGAATTCTGAGCTGGACAGCGTCTTGCTAGAACTGATTGGAAATCAAGTTTAATTTTTTTCTATAACATTTTTGAAATCATCTTCATCCAATTTCAAAAGTCAATGACTTTTCATCTATTTGAATTTTTCACACTTTTTTAATCTAAAATCTTTGATTTCAAACATTTTCAGATTGTTCTTCCTTCCTCTGCCCCCACTTCCTTTTTTTGTTTTGTTTTGTTTTGAATTTACCACTGGAAAAAGGTGTGGAAGAAGGAAAAAAGGTTGGGGGGGGGGGTGAAACCTGAACCATTTTATGACAAACTCATTTGGTTTAAATTTTCTGAGAACAACCTAAAAAACCTTCATGAATTTTCATTGACGAGAGAAAGCCATTGTTGGTTTGAAACGTTCGACCTGCAGTGTGCTGCGTGCCCTTTGACCAGGTATAAAGGGCTGCCTTCATAATTGCAAGGCAGTACAGAATTAAACCCCATCACTTTGCTGCTGGAATGTGCTACAAGACTGAGGCTAGGCCAAAGGGGAGAGAGAATATTATATAAATTCCATTTGAAATGAGGGCGCTGGCTATACTGGGGATTTTATCTACCAGTACAACTATGCCAGTGCAACCCCCTCGAGCAGACAGTCAGGACTGTTGTAAGCTATGATTTGCACCTTAATAGCAGCTCTGCCTATTGGTGCTAGGGGTTCATACCAGAAGTGTGACTACAATGGTCTGGCCTGTGATGGTTGTAATCCAGGCCAATCCCTGGTGTAACCAAAGCTGTAACTAGCACAGTTCTGCATCTTAGGTGCATATAAAATGAACTTTCCTCAATAACTTTGCCCCTGCTACTCCCAGTGATGGTTTCTCTGCCCAAGTGCCCTGGATGTATCTCCCATGATCAATTTCCTGTGGCTGTAAAGGGGAACTTAGGGGGACCTAAGTCCTTCCCAGCTGCTGGTGGTGGTTGTTTGCATCATGGAAGCACCTAAAGGCCAGGCCTGCTAGGTACTGTACAAATGTATAAACAAAAGACGATCCCCTGCAATCTAAGTAACTGTAATAGCTTGAAATCCTGATTTGGCCAGCTGATCTGTACATGTTTGGAGAGGAGAAAGTTAAAAAAAAAAAAATCCTTCTCTGTCCTCGTAAGGAGGCAGGGAAGGGGAGGGAATCTTTCCTTGCTTTCATAAGTATTAGCAAAACCTCAGCTTTTAAAATGTAATCCCTCTTTAAGCTGGAGGCTGTCAGGCCACATCCAAGGGCACAAAGGAAATGACTGCTATTTTTGCAGATCTCTTGGCTGGCTGGTGGTTCTGTGCCCACTAGGGTGGCATGGGGGTGGGGCCTTCCATCACAGCATGACCCCTCCCCCACCCCGCAACATCATATGATGATGATAGCTCTCCAAGGGGCCCAAATGTGTGCTGACTCCGAGGGCTGGCTTTTGGGTTTGGTGGGCCCTCACAGAGGGCCTTGAGAACGGATATCTTGAATCTCATCTCTCTCCCAGCCTTGCCTTCATTTTCTCTTTCCCCCTCCCTTCTAAATCGATGCAGTCAAATGACAACAGGCCCCAGAGTCTGTTCCCCTCAGATGCTGGTTTCATGGCTCCTGTGTGGTGCATTCACTATTTACTATTTTTATGCCATGACTTACTTTCTGTATGTAATTTGCCCCTGAATCACACAGGGCCCAATCCTGCCCTCGCTTGAATGGGGCTGATGGACTTCCATGGAAGTTGCACCAGTGTAACTGAAGGCAGAATTTGGGCCACAGGGTCAGATCCTGCCCTGAGCTCCCTCTTATTCACACAAACAAGGCAGCTGGGGATTGTATCTCTGCCCCTGCACCTCTCCTGCCCATTCCTGAGTTGGTCAGAAGCATGGCTGATGGTGGCAGAGGTCATGGCCAGAACATGCTTCACTTTAGTAATTCATATGGGACTTTTTCTAAGTGATATAATTTAGAGCAGCCAGGGGGCTGCTCTAAATTAATCTAGGTGGTGGTTCAGATCCAAGATCAGCAAAGCAGAAAGATAACAAGAGTAGAATTCATCAAAAAATTGAATTTCTGTCCTGTGGGAAAATCTGAGATTTTGAATTTTGGTTTTGTCCCAGATTTGTCAATCTCAGAAATATTTACAAAACAAAACACTGCAAAACATGTCAAACTTATCAAAACATTTCTTTCAACTTTATTTATTTAACTCTTCTTATGTTATAAATTATAAAATGGAAAAGTCAAAGCAATCAAGTTGAAACAAAATGTTTCAATTTTATCAAATTGGTCTTTTTGGAGAGACTGTTCTGTTGGAAAATTCTCAAATAGCTGTAATTGAGAGCCACCTTCCCTTCTCAACACTAATTCCGACAACAAGCACAGCTTGGCCAGGCCTGGGACGTTGGTCTAGAGTCTTCAGTGCTTGTAATTAGAGGTTTGTATGGGCATATCTCCAGATTTTGGGGGAGTTCAGATCCAAACCTGAACTTTGCAGCTTGGACCAATCTCTCTGATGAATTTTCATTCTATATGGTAGTACCTAGAGGTCCCAATTAGGGAACAAAGCCTCATTGTCTAGGCACTATTGCACACACATGAGGAAAAAAACAGTCCCTGCCCCCAAATAGCAAGTAGATCAAATAAATAGGGGGAGTAGAAGGTAGATGAGACATTACACCGATCATAATGTGGTCACAGCACCTCAGCTGCCCAGCCACTGCAGTGTGTGTTTTAGGCATGCAGTACGGGAGAGATTTAAAGAAGGCAACATAGTGGCTTTGCAGAGAGTCTCTCCTGTGCATTTGGAGCAGCATGGGAGGAAAATGAAGGTGCTTACTGGAAATTTCCCACAGCTGCAGATGGGGGAGTGATCGGAGCTATTCTGTAGGGTGACCAGAAGTCCCGATTTTATAGGGACAGTCCCGATTTTTGTTTTTTTTCTTACATAGACTCCTATTACCCCCCACCCTATCCCGATTTTTCACATTTGCTGTCTGGTCACCTTACGATCCTGTGTTTAGGGTGAGATGGAAATACCACCCTCTGCTCAGCCAGCATGATGCTTGATGTAGGGGAAAGCCTCTGAGCTGTGGGGGACAGAAGTGCTGTAAAGGAGGGGAGTTGGGGGGTGGGGAAGCAAACACCAAATTGTCCTCTTGTCTTTTTAACACTGCCCAGTGTTCCCAAGGCTGAACCATGGTGGGTCGGAGAGCAGGGTACCTGAGCCGAAGGGAGTCCCCATCCCATAGTGAGCGATCCAACAGACACGCTAGTGTTATAGCAGCACCACCGAAAGAATGAAACCTTATAGCTCCCTACTGCGTGTGGCTGATCTGTTTAGTGGGCAATAAAAATAAATGCCAAGGAGAAAAACAACCCTGCCCTACGGGAAATAAAGAAGATTGTAAAGGAAACTTAAAAAAAAAAAAAAAAAACAACAACAAACGATCAGGCCTTTGTTTTAGGGAAACTCCAGGAGGCAGAAGCTTGGAATTCCTGTATAGAAAGAGATGGATAATCTCAGCTTCTAAATTACATTCCACCCACAAAGCAGGGACTTGGGGGGCTCCTTGCTCCCCTTTCCTTTGCTATTTTAAGGGTTTATCATTTAGCTATACTTTTTCTTTCCTCCCAGAGCACCATAAACTGAGCAGGCAGCTTTGGGTCACTCCCTGCATGCAAAAAGGAAGACTCCAGGGTGGTGGGATTCTTTTTTTTTTAAGGGTAAAATCCTATAGGAGGACACTAGGTGCATCGTTCCAAAATGAAATCTGATTTGAAAACGTAAGGCTGCTGCATGGAAGGTTTAGTCAATAATATTCTCCCCTCCCTTTGGCATTGGAAAATGTTTCCCAGTTCCTCTTTGTGAACAGCAGGGCATATCTGTGTGCTGATGACACAAGCCTGCACACCCTTCCCTTCTAACAATAAATGCCAACTTGATTTAGCATGAGTGGCTTGCTTTACACCGCTGCCTAGGACTCCCTGCACCGCTCTCCCATCTCCTTCAGTAGATGGTAAGACAGTGCATTTCCCTTTTAAGAGCTTACAGGCTGGGAGGGAATAAATAAAAAGGGGGGGAGGAAACTAGACCATTACCCCTTTTAAACTGCAGCTCTGCCTGCCTGTCTCCCTTTAATCTGCACCCAAAGCTCCAGGATCAGAGGCTGACGTCACCCTGCCCCTGAGCCTCCCTCTCTGATTGGCTGGGGGTGACGTCAGGTGCTTTTTTTTCAAGGCATGACCTCATCCTCAGTTCATTTTTAGTTCTAAAGTGCAACCTTCTGTCTTCCTGGATCCCTTCAGCCCTGTTAATGCTTATCTGTGCCATCCACCCCCACCACCCCCTCTGTGCAGGGACATGCCTGCCCCTCACTTACTGGGCTAGTATTATGACTACATTTCAGTGTGGGTGCCTGTATGTGTTTGCAAGGGGCTAGAACTTGCATCATCAGCACTGGCACCAGCCTTGCAGGGCTTCTCATTTGATCATCCTGTAATTGCGTTTAATTATCCTGACGAATGTGCAGAAATTTGCAATCAGCTGGAGAACCTCAGGAGCTCTGATTCCCCCGGCTGCAGAGGAAATACGGGAGGGTAAGTGTTTATAATGTTGTAAGGGAAGAAGACGGGGTGGCCTAGGGTTTCTAATCATGCTTTGTATTTGAGTGACCCTGCAGATTTCTGCAATAGATCCTAGGGGGTTGGAGCTGGGGAGAAAATTCTGATGAAGAGGTGTATTTTTTATATAGATGCGTACTGCATCTTCCTGATCCTACCCCCGCATGTAAATACAAACGCACAGCATATCTGTGTGTGTGTGTTGCATTATATATAATTGGTGTCAGGATCAGGAAGATGCAGTAAGTGGTGCATGAATTGGTGATTACAAGGCATGCGTTGGAGGGAATGGTTGGGGAGATGTAATTGTGAGTGTGTTGTTATTACCCAGAGCCGATAGACGTTTTAAAAAACATTTGTTATTTTGCAAAACGGACTGGAAACTCACCTTGCGTACGTACACAAAACAAAAAAAAAATAAAAACCAAATCCCGTGCTGGGTGATATCATGCAGGGAGCTGCTGACAGGGAACTGCATGCTTATTTAGATAGGAGTTTAAACAAAATCCTGATCATGCTGGGTGCAAATAAAATGACATGATCCTCCCGCGTGAGCTAAAAGCGTGTGTGTGTGTGTACGGGAGGCGGGGGCGGCTGCGGCTGCAGCTGCAGCGTGGGGGAACATATGTTTGCGGTTTGCTATTCTAATGCCGTGGGGTTTTACAGAAGATCTGGGAAATAGCCGGGCTCCAATGTGGCTGGGCTTTGCAGGCAGTGTCTTACCAGTATTCTCCGTCCTGGGCTCAGGCTCAGCGTTTGGGAGGCTGCTGGTGTTAACAGCCCTGTGGTTTCCCAATGGTGTGTCGCCTTATATCCTTGGTGCTTCAGGGAACCCAAGAAAACGGGCGTGTGTGCAGCAGGAGGGTTTCGCAGTGCTTCCCTGCCATTGCTCGAAGGGAGCTGCTAGCGAGCAAGGAGTTAAGCTTGCTACTTAAAATGATTCCCCCGCATGAGCACGGATGGAGCATCAGCCTGCAACCATGGTGGTGTTTGTGCAGTGATTCAGCACTTAGAGCTGAAATGTTCTGAAGAGTTTAGATGGGGCTTTTTTTGCTTATTGGTTAATAAGTCCCTTAAAAAAATAAATGCTTGGTCAGTACTTAAAAGCTGACGTCAGTGCTTCAGCCTACATTAGGGGAGATGCAGGGCTGTAATCTGTGGTTTTTGTTGTAAGGAAGGAGGTGCTGCAGATCTGTTTTCTGTTTAAGGACGTTTGGATTTGCTGGGTGCAGATGATGATGCATGTTTAGGCCCTACTGCAATACAAATAATAAAGACCCTAAGTAGGATCTCGGCCCCATTGTCCTAGGGGGCGTGAACATACAGGACAAAAATAAGATGTTCCCCGTCCCAAAGAGCTTACAATCAGAAATGCACTGCAAAGTTGTCACCAGCGAAGAGGTTTCGGGCACGTAGATGGAATGATGACTGAATGAGGCTTTGTTAAGCATATAAAACCAGTGAGGTCTTAAGTTCAGAATGCTAAAGATTTGGATTGGCTGTCTGATACACTTTTGCAGCTGAATAACAGGTGAGGTCACTGCTGCAATGAGATTGTGTCAATTGTCTTATTTTAGCCTTAATTACTTTCATATAAGGCAAAAGCCTTGGGGGCATGGCTGTCTACACATTAAACCAAACCCTGCCCATAAACTCAGTACCCAGTAGCTCCCACTTAAAAGCTTGGCCTTGTCAACACCAGAAAGGGTTTGCTGTTACAGCTGTAGCCCTTCTAGTGCACATGTAGCTTATACCAGCAAAGGAGTTCTTTTGCTGGTATGGGTTATACCAGTTCCCTGAATAAAATAGGCTGTACTGGCAAACCTAGCCTGAAAGCCTTCGGAGCAGGGACTGTTTTTTTGTGTGCTGTGTTAGTACAGGTACTACGTCAATACAAGTAATTGATAGGATTTTTTTTCCCCCCAGTGTAACTGCATCTACACTAAGGCTTTTGCTGGCATGGTTATGCTGGTTGAGGGGGTGATTATTTTTTCACTCCCCTACAGACGTAACCTATATTGGTAAAACTGTCTAGTGTACACCTGGCTTCAGTCTACACATGAATTTTGACCTGGAGTTAACTCAAGGTGGCTAATGTTTGTAAAGTGTAGTCTGAACTCTCCACCAGATTTGTTCCAAGACGCCAACACTGAATGCTGCTAGGCTTTAACTTGCTGCACTTATCACATCTGACGGGCTTGTCTACACTGACACTTTACAGCGCTGCAACTTTCTCCCTCAGGGGTGTGAAAAAACACCCCCCACTCCCCCCGAGCGCTGCACGTTTCAGCGCTGTAAAGTGTCAGTGTAGACCGTGCACCAGCGCTGGGAGCTACACCCCTCGTGGAGGTGGTTTTTTTGCTATGCTGTGACTACACAAGCCACTAACGTTGCTAGTGAAGATGTGCCCTTAGATTGCTTTGTCTTTGCTAACCTGCTAACTAACTCTAGTCATCTCTAACAGCATGCCTTTAAATCCTAGCCTGCACAAGGCTGTAGGTATGTACAGAAGTAGCCAGCTTTTTCAAAAGCACTCAGCAAAGGGAGCCGCTAGGTGCTGAGCACACTAGAAAATATGGCCCTTAATGTTTATTTACATAGCACCCAACAAAGGGTGCTAGGTACACTGCAGGCAAATAATGCTTGGTGCCTGCCTTGAGAGAGTTTATAATCTCCCTTTGGACACCCCACACAGCTACTGATGATAAAATACAATAGGCATTAGGGTGAGACTTCTTAGTCATCCATCTCCCTTATTGCCAAACTACCTCTCGGTAAATTAGAGAGTCCTAGATTTAAAAAACAAACCAACCAATCCCTGGGAGACTGAACGTATTCTTCCCCGCAAACTGAAGAAGCTTCTCTTGGTATGAGTGGGAAGGAGCGATGTTCCACCTCATTTCCCCCCTCCCCCCAATCAACAGACTAATATACACATACGGAATGGTTATAGGGGGCACCTGCTGGGTTTTTTAGAAGGCTGTTTTGAGTCAGATCCTCAGCTGCTGTAAAGCTGGGTAGCACCATTGAAGTCTGGCTCCAAAAGTGGTGAGTGGGCTGTGCTAAGGTGCATGTGATAAAGTAGCAGATGTGTAATGAACTAAAGATTCTGAATGAAACTTGGAAAAAGGCAGTTGTATTCTGGCTCTCGGTGCCTTTGATTGATGACCCCCAGTCCTAGGGCACCTATCACTATTGTATTTGAACAGCTATTGGAAACTGAAACCTATTGAGAAGGAGAAGGAGGAGGTGATTGAGGAAGGGAGCTAGTAAATAATGGCTTATGCTGGTGAGAGGTGGGGCGGTGGTGGATGAAAATAGTCTAAAGCCTTCGTAGATCTTTTATCCTGAGCTGTGAGTTCAATGGCAACTGTAAAAGGTGATAGCAGGAATCAACAGCAATGAGAGGTTCTCTCGCTTCCTTTCTGTTTAGCAAAATGCTACACACGAAATGCCCAGGTGTAGTATTGGCTTTGAAACTGCTGAGTGCAAAACCTTTGTAGTGATTGCCTTTAATATTGGGGTCCTGGCAGGGAAGAGCATGCACTGCTTGAAAATGCTTTTTGCATCCTAATGGCTGCTGGGTTTTAAAACCTGTTTTTCAAGCTCGGAATTTCTTCTAAGACGCACCTGTCAAGCCTGATGCAAAGTGGGAAGAGATGCCTGACCTAATCAAGGGGGGGGTGGGGAAGGGAGGTGAACAGACCAAGATAATTCATTTGATAAGAAGCTAAATTAGCTCTTCCTTAGAGATTTTCTCAGGCACGCCTGGGAAGTGCCATGTATTTAGGAATGTGGTAGTAACTTGTTTTAGAACAGTGGTTTTCAACCTGTAGATCTCAGACCCCTCGGGGGTCCGCAGGCTATGTCTAAGATTTCTAAAGGGGTCCCTCCATTTGCAGTTTTTTAGGGGACCTCAAATGAAAAAAGGCTGAAAACCACAGGCTTACAGAGCATCTACATTGCAAAAGACAGTGTACCAAGGCACTGTGTGATAATATAACATCACAACTCTGTCCTAACACAGCTTGTTCCTCCATGGGTGGAGAGAGCTAGAGTTGCGGTTGGGTTGCGTAACATAGTTGTAATATGGGGCAGTCCCATGCATGCAGGCGAGACCAGATGCTCAGGCACAATTGTATTGTAATAACATAGCACCCCAGCATAGTAAACATTATCGTACTAATGGTCACGGAAACCAGAATGCTTTTCTGAGTGCTCTTCTAACATGCTTTGGCCTGTCCACATGCTCGAACCACATTAGACACTAGTTTGGCTGGAGTGCAATGTAACCTATATTGAAACATTGGCTTTTTCGTTTAAACCTGGCTAGCAAAGCCATTATAGAGCATGGGGGGCATTATTGAGCCATAGCTGAAGCTCACAGTTTTGCCACCAATTCTTTTATTTAACATACAATTTTACAAGGGCCAACAGCTTATCCCTTTCTGCTTCAGGAGCTGCATATAGGAGTTCACCTCCTGTGAAAAGTGTTGCCAATGAGGGTTCTCAGGCATTCAAACCTCAAAGCCCCCTGTGGATGAGAGGGACATAAACCAAACATAAGGACTTGTCTACCTGGAGAAATTGATCAGCATGGCTATAGCAGAATAAGAACAACTTTCCTGCTTAGACAAGCCCTAAGAGAAGAAGTCTGAACTAATGTGAGGCTCCCTTCTTTACCGCGTGTGAAGTTTTCTACAGTCTCGCTTTCAAGACTTTGCATTTGTGAGTCACAATTGTCAAAAGTGGCCAGAGGCTTTGGGTGCCCAACTTGAGATGCCTTGAAGGGGCCTGATATTTCAGAAAGTTTGAGTACCCATCCTTTCAAACTCAGGTCCTATGAAAGTACCCCAAATTGGGGCAGGGGGTCCAGAACCACTGGTCACTTCTGAAAATCTTGCCCCATTATGTCGACAGTCTTACAAAAATAAACAGCAAGAGATGACGTTAGGGTTAATACTAGGGTTGTGTTG